ACCTCGTCGACACCAGGGGCTCAGCTGTTTAACTGCCTCAGTGACCTCGCCCCCAGAAATTGGCGGGTCATCCCCTTCGTCCCCAGATGAAGAAGACGTGCCAGTGGGATTAAGGAGGTCCTCGAAGTATTCCTTCCACCGCCTGACAGCAGCGCTCCACCAGCACTAACCGTCTGACGGTTTGCCAGAATCTCTTCGAGGCAGTCCAAAAGTCTTTTTCCATGGCCTCTCCAAACTCCTCCCACACCCGAGTTTTTGCTTCCGCCCGCGCCGCGTTCTGCTTGGCCTGTCGATACCTGTCAGCTGCCTCCAGAGTCCCACAGGCTAACCAAGCCCAGCAGGACTTTCTTCAGCCTGGTGGCTGGAAATAGAAATGTTAGTTTTTAAATTTCATATATAAAACAATAAACAACAAAGTTTTTCTGCACTTAGACACAAAAATGAATACATGTGTTTGAAACTGCACTTCTTTAGCTTACGTTGAGATCAGTGAGGACCAAAGTGGACTCGACGTAAAACCTGAAGCAGACGATCAGGACAGAACAAACGCTGCCAGTTAGCCACCGGCCTTGAACTCGTCCTGAGGCCTGCGGGTGCACACCATGCTGATATCTGTTATGAAAACATCTCACATGGCGACAGCATGTGTCCCGTTTCCTGACATCCTGAAAAACAATTTTGTTACATTTGTGAAAACTTAAAGATCTGGAAACAATATTTTATTACTTTTCATCATAAAGAGTTTTTTACGTGATGCAAAAGTAGGACGACCGCTTTCTGTTTCAACATGCAGGAGTGACACTGACTGGCACTATTAAGCTCCATTATCACGACTCTGTAGCTCCTGGCAGCTCCACCCAACACCTTTTCTATTCAAAGTTGGCATCAGAGGAATTATTTGAGGTAAAAGATGAAGACAAATATTACCATTAGGACGTTTTATGGCGTACGCCGACTCAGTTTCCCCCCTCGCTCGCTCTCCCTTTTCCCCATCTGTGCCACTCACTTTCTCTCTGAGTCTCCCAACGGGGATGAAAAGGCGAGGAGAGAGAAAGGAGGAATAGAAAACTGAGTGAGCGCTGTCAATAGCAGCGAGTTCACTGCTAATCTGGCTACACTACAAAGGTTAGCAGATCTGACTGTCAATAGTGTCTTGTGGGGAGGAGGGAGGAGACACGGAGGTGAGGTGGTGCAGGGAGGGGTGGTCGCTTTGAGAGAAAGAGATACTTTGATATTTCGGAATGTTAGAAGGGTGAATGTGGAGAACTGGAGGTTGGGGATCTAATTACCGGGCCATAATTGGGGGCTGGGGAATAGGTTGCCGTCCTCTCAACTCGCTGCAGATCAATTATGTTAAGAGAACATCTGTAAGTAGAGCTTAATGAGGTCCATTAGAGCAACATGCGCTGCCTTCCCTAACGGTGCTTGTCAGCTTCTTGGATGAGCTGGAGTGTGCTGCTGACTGGGGACCTGGTGGAGGGGCTTAAATAGGAGAGGAGGCTCGACTGTGCTGCTTTTCCCTGTCAGAGAAACAGAGAGACACACAGAGATACAAGCAGGGAAGGGATGCTCTGTGAGAGAGGAGCCACAGAGCAGCGAGGGCAGCAGAGTTTAGGGTCAAAGCTCAACTATTAACAGTTAGCAAACCAGGAAAGTTTGGCAGAAAAGTTTTCTTTAGAGAAGCGGGAGCTGGCCGAGCTCTCACAAAGTTACCTTCTGGAGATTTTCATTCAAAGTCAAGAGAACAGAAGACGAAACCATCCCTGGCTGTAGCTCCTTCAAGGTATGTGTTATCAGCGCTTTTCTTGGTTCTAAGTCAAAGCTTAGCCCCAGCGAGGGCTGCGTGTAAAGGGCTGGTTGAGCTTCCAGGGAAGAGATCGGATGGAGATGTCATTTATGCTGTGCAGAGCATGTCTGGTTTGGGTGCACGCTCGTTTGTGTCTTCATTACAGGATGGTTGGGGTCATAGCGTGTAGCTCTCCCCTCTCTCCAGTTTTGCAGAGTACTGTGTGGTGCATGAGAAGACCGGGCTAGCCGCGCGACGCTCACCGCTCCCCCCGCTCTCCACATACACTCCTGCTTTCTGTCTTCATCTTATATTCATACGGAGAATGAATAATTGGCTGAACACAGCGAGTGAAAGGAGGGTGGAAGGGCAGCGGGAGAGGGGTGGAAGCCTCACACACACTGCAGCAGATTGCATGATTACCGAGATAGGCCTCCTTGAAATAATTCAATCCATGACAAAACCTAATTACTGGCAGGTAATACCCTGTCAGCTTTAATGCATCTCATCACTCATAATGGCGCGGAGAGCATTTTATGACCCAACTCATTATTGCTGCATTTTTGGCTGGAGTCGCATGCCAACTATTGACTTGTGTCTCCTCCTTCAGTGCCTTCCACACTTTCATTTGTCTATCATCATATTTATATGACACATGTGTGAGATAGGGAGGTATGGGGTAAGCGTACCGTGACACTCGGGCCTCCTCGCTGCCTCGTCTCATCTAAACTAGGTCGCTAATTGATGCACGACTGGAAAACCTGGCGAATGCATTTGTCCTTTAATACAAGAATGATTAAAAGCAACTATGATGATCATCAGAGTTGTTGACCCAGCTGGAGACCTCCCTTTGCCACAGGCTGCTGTAATCACAGAGCCATTAAATGCACTGTGATGTTTGCATTTTCTCACACAAACGTGCAGTAGGCAGCACTTTCTTTCTCTTTTTGGGGGCTTAAACTCGGATCTTTTTAAATGTTAATAATTAGAACCCTGTGCAGATGTACTGTAGGCTGAAACAATGCAAGGAGTCTGACTCTCTGAGAGCTGCTCATCTCAATATTAGTATCAGTGTTAGGAGTAAACTGCTCTGCCTACACCTGGACTATTGCATTTGCTTCTGTGTCTATAATGCAGACCCCTCTCCACGCACCGTGGCTCCAAAATCAAAGAAAGTGGGCGTGTGCGTGAGCATCCTTTAACCAAACAGCTGCTAATAACTGATCATGTCGTGTCACTGCTGAGAAGACTGGAGGTGGGAGAATAATAAGAGAAACTTCCGGCTCTGACAGACCCGAGCTCCCTGCAGCTTCCACCTGTAGCAGCTGCTGACACACCAAGCAGCTCTTGGAAGTCTTTGTTTCCAAGCTCCGGGTCAATGTGGCGACCTGCGCCGCCAGTTGCTCCAACTCTGGCAATCTGTCGCTGCTTCAATTCGCTGCTTTAGTTTAGGCTTCGGTTGAAACTTGCTGAGAGGTGAGTGATGAGAAGAATGAGCCTTACTGAAAACAAAGCGTCAACAAGGCTTCGTACGTGTAAGTTTGGGAAGAGCGCGCTTACTGCTCGGTGAGGGAGCCGCTGTGCGTAACCTCTGCTCTGCCTGCTGATGAGCCAAGCAGCATGCAGCAGGAGCCGCTGTGATGAGGTTGCCAGTGTCGTGGAGGGGAAGCATCTCTTTGTCGTTCTGTCATTCGCTGCCTGCCTCTCTGCGCACCGATAAACGTGCTCACACACGGTGCGACGCCCGACGGGAGCAAACGCATCCGCCTGCGTTTTATTAGCCGGTGTTTCTCCTTCTCTTCATTCCACTTTGGCCGCCGTGCTGGATTGTTCCTCTCTAACAAAGCCTGATCTCAGTCTGCCTGCAGACAGCTGATCTCCGGTCCAGGCGGTTCCGGGTTGCATGGTGGTGCTTCGGCTGCTCCAGCGGCTCAACAAATGCAGAAAAGGGAGAAAAGTTTCGGTAAGACGCTTTCTTTGGCTTCGGCTTGTATGAACGGAACGTTTTCTGTGTGTTTGGACTGTTCTGCGACGGCAACTTACAGCATCTCTGCGTCGAAGGCGACGCGTTCACATCTGACCTGCTTTTGCTAGAAACGATCCATTATCTAACTTGCCTCGTTTTACCGAGAGCACCTCACGAATGCGTGAGAGCGGTTTGTCAGTAATTAAACGGCAGACGGGTCCACACGGTGCTGTTCCATGTGTTTGTGCGTGGTGCGTGGAAATCTGTGAAATCCGTCATTGGCCTCTAACGATAATGCGCTCCCACGACAACAGTGATTAAACTCGGGGTGAAAACGCGAGCATCAGCTCGCTCTGGAGCACCGTTGTTGTCTCTGTTCTGTCCTCCATTCGTTCGGGATTCACACGATGATACACGATGATGCTGCGGACGCGCAGCAGCGTACAAGCCCACGATGAACGGGGGAAAGGGAGGCTACGAGCCAGCAGCAAGTAAACAGATATGATTAGTACTCCGAGCTTTCTTTGGGAGCTTTTGTTCAGCACTTCCCCGGCAATCGAAGAAGCGAAGCGGCCACATTCCTGCCGTGCTCCCCCCCTCTCTGCCGAGTTTATGGCACAGTAAAAAGGCTGTGGAAACTCTTGCTTCTTTTGGTTTGGTAATGAGTCGCGGGGACTTTGTAGTGTTAACGAGGCCGGACGGATCAGTGCGGCTGAACAGGCGCGGGGGAGCAGCCATGCGCTCCGTCCTCTAAATCCAGCCAATTAACAAATCGGCAGCTCAACACAAAACACGCGAGCTGAGCCTCCTCCTGCACCGCCACGAGAAAAACAAACTTTGTTTGTGGGAGATTAGAAGAAGCATATCTGCTTTTACAGATTATTAATAGTTTATAAACACGTCATTCAAACTGCATCGTTTTCTGCTGCTCAACACATTTAATGTAACATTAAACAGACGGAGGATGCTGTGTTACAGTGAACAGCAGGTTCAAGTTATCTGGTAGTAAATGCTGATCAGTCTGCACTTATTAAGCCAACTAACATAAGAAACAGATGTTAGTAAGACCACAGCGACGGTGCAGCCAAACTCTGACAGGTTTAATATTTAAAGATGACCCGAGCTAAACACACAGCTCAAACACTGTGTGTGTGGGCGGGGGTGGGGGGACAAAGGGGAGTGGGACTGTGCCACTCCTCAGAGAATGGCAGGAGAATACTAATTCAGCCTCATGCAAAAACTCAATGACCCCCACCGCCTCAACGGCCCAACAAAGGCTTCCCATAGTTAGCTCAGGCCAAACAATACAGGCCACTGCAAACCTCCTGGGCTCCAACCACACCCCCGAAGACTGAGGTGCAAAAGAGCTGGGACACTGTGGGGTCTGTGAGGGCATGCACTGAAACTGTTTTCATTCATCGCTCTGCCTGGACACAATCACATGTGAGGCAAACGTGCGCTAAGGTCAGAAAAGTGTCGGCTCCTGTAAGAAGTGTTTCTTTAATCGAACAATGCACCACGTCCTGCTCGGACTGACGTGCTGATCAGAGAAACTGATGTTTCAGTCTGAATTAGAAATGTTGCACAGCTCGTCTTTACTGGGAATACTGGGAATATCTGTGACTCCTTTATGGAAGCTGCTGTAGTCTTTGCACTGCTCCTTATTCACAGCTTTGCATGTTTGATTTGCCAGATTTTTCTTACAACAGGTGCAAAAGCCCAAAGGTATTTATGTCTGCTCTGGACGGGCCGATCTGTAAACCACTACACCACGGAGCTCTTGTTGTAAATATTCCCAAATAAAGGAAAACACCACACACACATGCCTGCAACATACATACATGTAGTACATGTCGTCACAGTTCACAGTTAAAAACAAATCTCTGAGCATTTTGTGATAATACTGACTGTACAAACACGGCAGTGTAAGACTGAGGGCTGCATTAAAATCAAAGCACATTATCTGATTTTATGTCTTATTTCACTTGTCAATGTTTTTAATTGCCATGATTTTAAACAGTGCATTAAATGTATGTAACTAGTTCTGTTTATCCTGGTTTAGATTTCTTTCTGTGATCCTTTGTGTGTTTACCTGCTCGATGACTTTAAAGCTTTGTTTCTGCTTCTCCCAGGTATACAAATGCTTTCCGTCCAGCCGGACACCAAGCCTAAAGGCTGTGCCGGCTGTAACCGGAAGATCAAGGACCGCTACCTGCTGAAGGCTCTCGATAAGTACTGGCACGAGGACTGCCTCAAGTGTGCCTGCTGTGATTGCAGACTGGGTGAGGTGGGATCCACTCTGTACACCAAAGCCAATCTAATCCTGTGTCGGAGAGACTACCTACGGTAAGAGAGACCGCTTACTGCCAAAACGTCAGCGAACGCAGCACACCAAGTGTTAAATGTTCAATTGTATTTTATTTTTATCTTCTTAGTATTTTGTTTCATATATAATCTTTTCAAACAGGCACTAGTAACCACAGCAGTGTGAGCCAATCTAAACTGGTTCCAGGTAGTAACTGCATCATTGTATCAGAATAACAAGGCTCAGTTTAAAGAATTATGCACATGAAAGACGACAGCATGATGTTACAATATTAATGTAACTACTCACTGAAATGTGAGGATTTTATTGGAAATGGCAGCAACTATGATTTGAAACATTATCATGATTAATAAAGTTAAAAGGTGCCTGAAGAACTTTTACTTGATTTTCCGCACAGAAACAGTCCGACCCAGAAATAGAAATGTTATTTCACATTAGCGGTGACGCATCCTTTATAGCTTCTCTCGCCTACAAACTGGGACATGATGGAGTATTTCTCTACTGTGACGGCAACACAAGAACTGTTGTTACTAAATTTAAAAAAGGAAACTTATTAGTTTGTAACTGAAAATGTGAAGATTTTATTTTCATTTATGACCCTTTCAGACTCTCTGTGTGTGATAAATACAAAAACAGCAGAAAATAAACAAGTTAGTGATTCTGTAACAAACGTCACAAAGAGTCAAAGCACCGAAAACAACAAACCTCGTCACAGTAATTCATTATCTCTCGAACATAATTGGTGCACAGCAACATTTCATTCTCTCTTTTTGTGTAATATTTTATATATTTATCAGTGTGTGCGTTTCAGCAGTACTGTGTAACCAAGTGTGTTCACGTGGTCTGCATATTCACTGGAACAGAGTTTGGATAAACAGAAGTCGAGTGTTTCTGTGCTCCTGTATAGAAACACAGTCGTTGGTATATTTGTAAGTATAACTGATAATAAACCACAGGATCATAAAACTTCTTTAAATGGGAATAAAATCTGGAACTAATCATTTTTTAATTTTACAGACAGATTTTAATTATTTATTTTTTTAACACTGCAATTAATTGTTTTTTCATCCATTGTAATGCAGTAAACATTAGCAACATTGTTTCCCTTCTAACAATCATCTTTGTAGCTTTTGAATAAATCAAACATGAATTATCCGTCAGGGTCGTAAATGAATAATTTCCAATTAAAATCTTTTTAAAGAATGTAACTATTATTATTATTAAAATTTCAAATATATCCATTTCTGACTTTACGTCATCACAAAGACAATTTTGAAGAAACTGAAACTTTAAGTTCGATCCTTTGTGTTGTTGTGGCCTCCTGTGGGCTGTCAGCAAACAGCTGCTGTTGTTTTTGAAGTTACTTTCATGTTAAATTTAATTAAGTCACAGGAAGGTTTCTGACAGCGTTACGTTTCTTCTTCGTGGCTTTTCCATCAAAGTGACTGAATGAGTCTCAGCTGACTGCAGGTTCATAAACAGCACATTTGCATAATGACTGAAAACACCTCTGACTAACGGTGAGCCGCAACGTCAGATTCATGGTTATTAATACGCAAATTATCACGACCATTGATCAACAGCCACACTGATCAATGGTCATTGTTAATCAGTGGTGAACAGATGAACAGATTCAACTTTGGGACAATAAACAGGAAGTTGTAGCAGAGTTCATGCTGTCGTAGCATCACACGGGTAAAACGAGCATGTTGTGGGTGTTGACCCAGCAGTGTTAGAGTTTAACACCTGAGAGTGCATGCTCCGACCGAATCAGCATCATGTCCCACAAAACCTGATGTTGGCGGGTTTTGTTTGCAGAGAGAAGCTGCAGCATGCTGCACTGTGATCATGCTCTCACAGTTATGGACAAATTGATTAATAATAGTAAACGGATT